AAATAGAAAGAAGGTGCTGCTAGGCCCTGTAGAGGATTTAGATCCTCCAAATATCCCTGCCCCTATTCCTGTGGTGGCCCCCGTGGCCTGTAGGGAGCAAGAGCACACTTCCGCTGATGCCTGGTGTACAGAATATTCTAGTTGGGGGAGCCTACCCACATGAGTTACCATCATTAGGCAGCTCCACAGACACCATCTGAATGGAAACAGGAACAAACCATAGCAGCCAGGGGGTTCAGCTCAGAGCTGGTTTGGCTGGTGATCTGGCTGGTGATGGATCACTCAGAAGCCCTGTTAACCCTTAGCCCTGATAGTTGGGCTGTTTTAAAAGAATGAACCCTATGGCTTGGACAAGGGAAAGCTGAGAGGTGGATGATCATGAAAAAGCCTCTGGTATGTGAAAGACATTTGGGTTCACCTGCAGGAGACGAGGCAACCTCACTGTCTTCCACATCCAGGCTCTGAACACCGCCCGCCCCCCCGACACTGGCATTCAGAGAGCTGATGCCCCAGCCCAGGTAGGGGCCCTGGCCACCAACCTTTCAGTAGATAATGCAGATTGGGTGCATAGGAAGAGTGGCCACTGTGACACCTGGGCGGGATGGTGTATTGCCAAGGACACCGGATTGCCCTTGAAATCCAGTGACTTGGTTAATGGAATATTGCGTCCTCTATGTTCTAGAACAATGCCTAAGACAACTGCCAAAGGAGTTGTCCTGGGCCATCCGCTGGAGTTCCCAACCAGTAAGGCATTGGCAAGTTGATTACATTGGCTCTTTCCCTCTGAGGGAGGGTTTTGTTTTGTTTTTTAATTTTATTTATTAAGTAATCTCCACACCCAGTGTGGGGCTCGAACTCAAGACCCTGAGATCAAGAGTTACACACTCTACCGACTGAGCCAGCCAGGCGCCCCTGAGTGAGGGGTCTTTTTTTTTTTTTTTAAAGATTTTATTTATTTGAGAGAGAGAGAGTAAGCTCAAGCAGGGGGAGGGGCAGAGGGAGAGGGAGAGGGAGCAGCAGACTCCCCACTGAGCAGGGAGCCCAATGTGGGGCTCCATCCCAGGACCCTGGGATCATGACCTGAGCTGAAGGCAGATACTTAACCGACTGAGCCACCCAGGCACCCTGAGTGGGGGTTTTAACTATGGTTTGGTTTGCAAGGTCATTGCATCGGGCCTAACCCAAGCTTTCCCCCGTCACCATGCAAAGCAGGCTGTCACCAGTAGGGGATTAGAGAAACTGAGTATGATGTATGGAAACCCTCATCAAATAGACAGTGATTGGGGTCACATTTTAAGGGTCATGATGTGCAAGACTGGGCAGAAGAACAGTGAATGGAGCCTCCATCCCCCCCCCCAAACCATAAGCAGCAGCGTTGGGATAAAGGAAGAATGGACTATTAAAGCAGCAGGTTAAATCACTAACAGGTAAAGCCACCTTGGCCGGGTGGACGAAAGGATTGTTGCAGGCTTAATGCATTTGAATGACCAACCAACCACCCCATCTACCAGTCTGGGGACCCCTGCCAAAGCACCCAATTCCAAAAAGGTATTGGAGTCTCCGAAGATAACGACTGCCCTGACTCTCACGGTGGATCAATGCGCTGGGCTGCTGAGGACACCAAGCCCCATCCCGCCTGGGAGGGGCATTATCTACTGGAATTTACAATGGGATGTCCCACCGCGATGGGTGAGTTACTTCACCCCCTGGGTGAGGGGTATCTACTCGATCTCCACCGGGATCCTGTTGTCCTGCTGTTAAGCCAGTTCTGTAGAAACCCACTATACCTGGAATGGAACATGCACCACAGAGAGAGGGGAGAAGACAGGGATCCTGAGCACGTCCTGCCCCTAGTCCCATTTCCTCACACCTGACAGCACTGCCTCCCCAGCCACCAGGTCTGGTCCGATACGCACAACCCGGCCAGGTTCCTAAAGCTGCAGCCACATTGACAAGACTTCCCCATACAAGTTTCTACTACGTATCTGTCTTTTTGGCCTTAGACTTCTGCTGCCCCTGGGGTGTCCTGTTGCAGGATGGGCACCTGAGGGAAATACCTTTCTACAGGGGGCCCACTTGTGTGCCTGGCAAAGGAATTAATCCACAGTGGTGGGTATGCAGGCAGCCACCCCTCTTTAACTTGTCAGGATTGCTGTGGTGGACGCCACTCCTCCAGGGAGAGGAGCAGAAGGCACTGAAGCAGTACATTAAGGAAGCATAAGCTAGGACAGGTGCTTTTAATTCAGCTGATATTACCAATACTGATCCAGAACTCTGGCCTGTGGCACATCTCTCAATAACATTGGGCATTGGGTATTCTTTCTGTTGATTGAATGAAACAGGCAGCCCATCCGAAGGGTCCCAAAAATATCACTCTCAGAGCCTTAGGTGGCATCACTCAGATTCGGGATGGGTTCATGTGGCTTACCCTGGCTTATAGACAGTTGAGCACTCATGTACCTCAATGTGGGGAACAGAAACAACAACAACAACAACAACAACACTCTGAACAGAACCAACCCAAGTACACCAGGGATATGGGATGGACATCACTGTGACATAAATCCAAATGGGACCCAATGATTGTGTGGCTCAAATCTTTGGCTTGGTTTCCACCTGGGTGGTTGGGCCACCACACCCTGGGGTCTCCCAGAAATCTGCTCCACAGTAACAAAAGTTGCCAATCTCCCTCTCCTCAAGGCCAGATGGGCACATTGTTTTCCACTGGTATGATCACTTGGTCGCCATGTTTGTCCCGTCCATTGGCCTGGAGGAAGTTATAGCTCACATGGATGCCCTTACTAAGTTCACCCAGTAAAGCCTTAAACGATAGCCAAAGAAGCCTGTCCTAGTAAACCCTGAAATGTCCCTAATGAGAAAAGCTGTCCGCCAAATTAGGACAGACTTGGACATTATGACTGTCTTGCAAGGAGGCACCCATGCCATTATCCAAGCAGAATGTTGTGTGTTCACATCTGATGAGTCTGCTAATGTATCATCTTTATTAAAGCACATGAGGACACGTGTGAATGCCCTGAGTGATCCCACCCCCGGCCTAAGGGACTTAATAAATGAGTGGTTTGGATCATGGGAATCCTGGTGGAAAAAAATGGTTACTTTTTTGGGAGTCATTATTTCAGTCTGTGTTTTATCTCGCATGTGCTTAGATTGCTGCTGTGGTATCTGCCTCCAATGCAGCCAGACAGCCACCAAGCAAGCCACCTCCATGCTAATTGCAACCCCTTCTCATTATTGGGTCATCCTTTCCAGGACGTTTGTTTCTTTTTTTCTTTTTTTCAGATTTTATTTATTTGTCAGAGAGAGAGCGCGAGAGCGCAAGCAGAGCAGAGCAGCAGGCAGAGGGAGAACCAGGCTCCCTGCTGAGCAAGGAGTCCAATGCCGGACTGATCCCAGGACCCTGGGATCATGACTCAAGCAGAAGGCAGATGCTTAACCAACTGAGCCAGGCAGGCATCCCAGGATGTTTGTTTCTTATGGGCATTGACATTTGAATGTCATATATTTTTCACATGTCACTAAGTACTCTTTTTTTTTTTTTTTAAAGATTTTATTTATTTATTTGGCAGAGAGATACAGAGAGAGAACAAGTAGGCAGAGAGGCAGGCAGAGGGAGAGGGAGAAGCAGGCTCCCCGCCAAGCAGGGCGCCCGATGCGGGGTTCGATCCCAGGACCCTGGGATTATGACCTGAGCCGAAGGCAGCTGCTTAACCGACTGAGCCACCCAGGCGCCCCATCACTAAGTACTCTTTTGATTTTTCCCCCCCTTCAATCATTTACACATATGAAAACCATTTTTAGCTCACAGGTCGTATAAGAGCTAGAAGTGCGCCAACCCATGATATTGCAGAAAATGGAGAAATATAGAAGAGGAGATAATACTGTTCCCTAATTTTCCATATTTTCCCCTGAGGGGTGTAAAAGCACCCATATTAAGTACTTTATATATCATTGAAAAAAACTAATTGTGTCTGGGAATGAGGGAGCAGGCAGTTAGACCCGAGCTGGAGGCAAGGGCGGCGATAAATAGGTCACACATTAGAAGCCTGGGGGCTCTCTTTGTGGCCTTGTGGCAGCGGGCTAGTCGACCAAGAACCACAGATGCAGAACCTGTGGTCGCCTCTCCAATCTGTACCCCAGGGTGACTGCCTAGGTTCATTATAATATAATATATTTACACTGTGGTTTCGACCCCCACACCTCATGCCCCTCTGCGGGGGAAGATGGCCACGACACTCCCGGCAAGACCTGGGAGAACCAAAAACTCCCCCTCCCAACCGGCAGGCGGAGTCCCTTAGATGACTGGAAACCTCAGTAGCCGACCACCGTAGCTATGTTCATAAACATCATAGGAAAAGACACCCCTATAGCCTCAGGTCAGTTGCCATCTCTGGGCCTGCCCGCTCTCCCACCTCCAGAGTGTGCGGTTTTTCATGAACTGCTTTGCGCTTGCTACCTTCCTTTCTGGCTGTCTTTACTCAAGCGCGGATCCTCGGGTAAATCTTCCGTGGGGAATCCAAGAACCGAGACTCCATTCACACAACGCAGAGTCTCCCACCGGTAACATGAACAAGTCCTCAAGTTACACAAGATTTCATGGCTCATGGCGGCCCGTATTTTTTGTTATTTAAACTAATCGCTGCATAACCCATGAAAGTTTCAGCTTAGGATGACTTCTAGAATTGCGCTTTTTCACATTTCTCCCCGAGAAGTCCATGCGTGTCCCTGGAGAGGCTGATGCCGCAAGGGATTCTGGGGAGCGTAGTTCTGGTTTAGGGCAAGCCCAGACTTCTGGCGCAGAGATGGGATATCGGGAAATAGCCGGGGCTGAGACAGTAGCGACACAATTTTCCGCAAACGTCGCTCACGGGCGCGCCTGCGCGACGCACGGGGGCGTGGCCTCCCTTTCCCACACGATTGGCCAGCTGTCTTCCGGGCACGCGCAGACGGCCCTTTTGACACCCCCCCCCCCCCGCCTTCCCTACGGTGTCTGGGATTTGTAGTTCCGACTCCTACCCTAACTCAGGCGCGGGTCGGCGGTTTGGAGTTCCGAAGCCGTCCCCGACTTCGGCTCTTGGCTGGGAGGATGGATCTAGGACCCGGGACCGACACGGCCCCGCTGACTGGCCTGGCCTGGTCGTCGGCCTCGGCGCCTCCGCCGCGGGGATTCAGTGCGGTGAGCGACGTCGGGGGCCCGGGGATTAGTGGGGGCAGAGGCGGCCGAGTCGGGGAAGGAGCCCGGTCCTGACTCGGGTCCACGCCGTAGATCTCCTGCACTGTGGAAGGGGCGCCCGCCAGCTTCGGCAAGAGCTTCGCGCAGAAGTCTGGCTATTTTTTGTGCCTCAGTTCTTTGGGCAGCCTAGAGGTAAGGGGCGCACTCCTTCGGCCTCCCCGGGGTCCGCCCACTCCCCCGTCCTTTCGCGGGGCCCTGCGCCAGGCGCGCTGTCCCCGCTGCAGCGTGACTGTCGCTGTGTCCTCCCCTTCCTCCCCCTCAGAATCCGCAGGAGAATGTGGTGGCCGATATCCAGGTCCTGGTTGACAAGAGCCCCCTCCCACCGGGCTATTCCCCGGTCTGCGACCCCCTGGACTCCAGTGAGGCCCGCGTCGGAGGTTGGGGGTGGGGTAGGGGGCCGCGTTGGGGTCTCTGTGGGTAGGACCAGGGAGGGGTGGAGGGACGACAGGTGCTTGTTTTCCGAGCCTCGACCGCCCACTCGATGCACTGGGTGATGACCGGATTGGCTGTGGAGTCTAGCCCTGTTCTGGGGCGGGGCCACATGCCCTGCCCTGCATAAGAATGTGACATTGGCACAGCCTCTGACCTAGAGTAAGAGTTGTAACCTGTTTTATTACTGTTCCTGCTACATCTTACACCGTAGCCAAGCCGAACCACCGGCCATTTCCAAGCCTTTTCCTTTCCAGGCTTTTGCACACACTGTTTCCTCTGCCTGGAGCACCCTTCTGCGACCCTTCCGGCTAGCTAATGCTTGGTTTTCCTTCAGGTCTCTGCTTAGCTCTCCCCAGCCCTCTCCTCCGGCTCCTATAGCCCTGGTGCTGCCCTCCCAGCCCTGACCGCTGGCTTTCCAACCACCTGGCTCCCCCTGCCTTTCACTGTGACTTGTCGTGTGTATTTGACTCTCAGGGTGTATCTGTTGATATTGGAGTTGGCAAACTTTTTCTGTACAGGTCCAGATAGTAAATAGTTTAGGCTTTGCAGGCCAGATAGTGTCATTGCCCACCCCCCTTGGCCAGTCCTTTAAAAACATGAAAACCATTCTTAGCTCATAAGCCCTGCAAGAGCAGATTTTGGACGTCTTTTGGCAATGGGCCGGAGTCGGCTGATCTCTGGATTAGAGGACTAAGGAAAAGTGAGGTTTGCGGGGCCAGGATGGGCATTCAGTTCTGTCTGATTCCACAGATGCCCACCCTTGCTGTAGGTGCGCACAGTCACCCCACGAATGCCTCTCCATGTCACCAAAGATAAGCCTGCCCCAGCGGCTCCTAAAGGCTACATGAAGTCCCCTCCTCTGGCTCTACCATTCTTGATTTAACCGTTGACCGAAAGCTGTCCAGGGAGCTGCCTTAAACAGCGCCCTGACCAGCATCATCCTGGAGCCATCTTTCGGCCCCTTTCGCTGCTTCTTCCCTCTTCTCACTCCTTTGCCCCCCCCCTCCCTCCAGAGGCCTCTGTGTCCAAGAAGAAGCGCATGTGTGTGAAGCTGGTGCCCCTGGGGGCTGCAGACATGGCCGTGTTCGATGTCCGGCTGAGCGGGAAGACCAAGACAGTGCCTGGATACCTGCGAGCAGGGTAGGGCCACCCCCAGCCTCTGGCCTCCTTTGCCCTCCAGCTCCCATATCTGCCCTGCTGACCCTCAGGGACTGTCCTGAGTGCCTTCTGTCACTTCCCTGTGCCTCAATTTCCACAGGTTAAAAACAGGGCTAATTTTATCAGTCTTATAAGGTTCTTGTGAGGAGTGAGTTGATGAGTCTGAAGCGCACAGTTCTGTGATCGGACCGAGCAATATTAATTCGGATGTTGCTCAGGGCAAGGGCTAAGGTAGAAGGCAAATCCCTCAAAGGGCTGGGGTCCTCCTCTTGGGCCAGGACCCCTCCCTACTTCTCTCTCCTTCTAGGGACATGGGGGGCTTTGCCATTTGGTGCAAGAAGGCCAAGGCCCCAAGGCCGGTGCCCAAGCCCCGAGCTCTCAGCCAGGACATGCGGGGCCTCTCCCTGGACCCACTTGCCCAGCCCAGGTGAGTGCTCAGGCTTGGCAGTGGGGCAGCCGTGGGGGGAATTAGGCCTGACCTGTGCTGTCCTGCCTCCACCAGCAAGGGTGGCTTTCCAGAGCGGACCCTGTCCAGGTTAGGCTCTCGGGCGTCTACTCTGCGGAGGAACGACTCCATCTATGAGGCCTCCAACCTTTACGGCATCTCAGGTGAGTGCTGAGCAAGAAACTGAGGCACTGGGGTGGGGCAAGACTGGCTCAAGGTGGGATAGGCAGGAAGCGGTGGGGCCAGGGTTGGAACCAGGCCTGGGCCTCCCCAGTATTTGCAAAGACGGGGGAGAGCCTGGGGTTTGGGGCTGGGCCTCTCTGGTTGGGGTGGACTGCAGGCAGGCCGCAAGCTCCCTGTGTCTCAGCCCCTACCCTTACCTGCTTTCCTCAGCCATGGATGGTGTTCCCTTCACACTGCACCCCCGGTTCGAGGGCAAGAGCTGTGGCCCCCTGGTGAGTCTCTGCTGAGGGAGCCTAGGTCTGCCCCTGCCAGTTGCCTTCCTAGGGGTCAGGATGCAGAGGGTCATCCGTGTACCCAGTGCCCCAGCACAGAGGCCCATGTTCCTGGGTTGGAGGAGGCCGGAAGCTGGAGGGTCTTAGTCCCAGAATGGGGAATCGGGAGGAACAACTAGATGCTGGTGGTAGGAGGCTGTGGCAGGAAGGATGAGGGGATGTTCAGGCAAATATTGGGGGAGGCCCTCCTTGAGGATGAGGGAATGGAGTTCCAGGTTAGGGTCCCCACCCAAGACTGACCTGCCTCTGCCCACCAGGCCTTCTCTACCTTCGCCGATCTGACCATCAAGTCGCTGGCAGATATTGAGGAGGAGGTGGGTGTGGGGCCCAGGATGGGGTGCTGGGGGGCCCCCACCTTCCCGCTACCCCAGTCTCCCCCAGCCATACCCCATCTCCCAAGGGCTGGAGCTCGCTAAGTCCCTAATTGTCTTCACCCGCTCACCATTCCTCAGGCACCGCTGTGGCCCCTCACTCACCTTGTGTTCTCCTTGCCCCCAACACTGCCCCCCAGTATAACTACGGCTTCGTGGTGGAGAAGACTGCAGCTGCACGCCTACCCCCCAGCGTCTCGTAGCTCTTGGTCAGCTCCAGGGAAGAGCCCCCTGCCTGACAGCCCCGACACCCCGGGACTGGCAGCAACCCCACCCTGCAGCATCTTGGGAACCTTGGCGGTGCAGGGCGTTCTACAGCCTCAGTCACCCAACAGAGCCACAGCCCTGGTGAAGGAGCCAGACCGACCGGTCTGCTTGGTGTTGGGGTCTCTCGCCCCCGGGGCCCTGCAGGGCAGGGGTGGGGGCTGGATGGAAACCAGTGCCTTCAAATCATTTGTGTCAAAACTCTTTGGTGCCCGGAGGCCACGCAGGCGTCCTCCTGGCAATAAACACCACCCTTTGCCCACTGTCTGGAGTCCTGATCCTTGCTGCGGGTCCTCTGTGGCTCGAGGTCTTTGCCACGCACAGCCAGCACGAGACGGGGGACAGATGCCCACCTGGTAAGCGAAATCGGGGAGGGGGGCAGCACTGCTGCCCGCCCCCCAGAATACTCCGCAGAGGGGGAGATGGGCTCAGTGAGTGACTGGGTGGGCTTGTAGATCACAGAGAAGACCCGGTCTGCCCCTCCGCCACTGCTCGTAGCAGGAATAATAGTTTCAGTTACGTTTAGATCGTGGGGAGGGGATCAAATCCCTAGCACCTGATGCGCAGTATCTCATTTGGTGTTCCCACACCCCGCTACGAAGCCCTGGTTTTGCGCATCTTACAGATAGGGAAACTGAGGCAGGGGCAGCTAAGATCACAGCTGAGATGTTCTTTTTTTCTTTTTTTCTTTTTTTCTTTTCTTTTATTTTTTTTAAAGATTTTATTTATTTATTTGAGAGAGAGAGAATGAGAGATAGAGAGCACGAGAGGGAAGAGGGTCAGAGGGAGGAGCAGACTCCCCGCTGAGCAGGGAGCCCGACGTGGGACTCGATCCCGGGACTCCAGGATCATGACCCGAGCCGAAGGCAGTCGCTCAACCAACTGAGCCACCCAGGCGCCCGAGATGTTCTTTTTTTAAAGATTGTATTTATTTGAGGGAGAGAGAGTGAGCATGAGCAGGGGGAGGGGCAGAGGGACAAGCACACTTCCCTCTGAGCACGGAGCTGGATGCAGCTGGATGATCCCAGGACCCTGAGATCATGACCTAAGCCGAAGGCAAAAGAAGCTTAACCAGCCGAGCCACCCAGGCGCTCCCACAGCTGAGATTTGAATCCAGAGCCTGCTCTCTTCACCTTCAAGCTGTTCTATGTGTCTTTTTTCTCTGCTCTGTGATGGATACAGTCAATTCTCATTATTCACTGTCCTTAGGTTCTATAACGTTGCAGTGAAAACTGAGTCAGGGAATACTGGATTCCACAGCAAATACAGAAGTAGGCTCCTGCAAGGCTTTGGTGACATTTTTCTCAAGCAATCAATCCGTGACCTTGTTTTGTGTGTGTTTTAAGACACCTTGTTTAATACATACTGCTGATTGGTTAACATTGAACTTCTGACCATCTGAGCTATAACTCATGCCTGAGCAAACCTCATCTAACACACATTTTCTCCAGGGGCACATTCCAGCCTTCTTGCATTCAGGGAGAGGCAACACTAAGCACTATGCTTGGAGACCTTTTTTTTTTTTTTTTTTTTAATTTTTTTTGAAAGGAGAGAGCAAGTGAGAGAGACAGCACCAGTGGGGAGAGGGGCAGAGGGAGAGGGAGAAGCAGGCGTCCCGCTGAGCAGGGTGCCCGATGCGGGGCTCGATCCCAGGCCCCTGGGACCATGACCTGAGCCGAAGGCAGAGCCACCCAGGTGCCCCTGCAGACATTTTTATTTTTATTTTTTTATTTTTATTTTTTTCCTGCAGACATTTTTAAATAGCAAAATTGCAAACGAAAAGCACAAAAATGTGAAAACGTGCCGCTAGATAGACCATAAAAAGGCCACCTCTTCACAGTCCAAGCTGAAGCAAGATGGCGGAGCGTCACCACGTCCCACCTCAAATGAAGACCGTGTGCTTCGGTGATTCACATTTCCCCCCACTCTGTGCATGTCCCTGAATGACCACAAAGTGCTGCAGATATTGGTTTCGGGGTGGCAACTCTTCGCCAGTGGGACTCACAAATCCAGGATCTATGCATAATGGGGTGGACTGATTTGTAAATTAACGACCCCAGACTCACACCGTTTTTCTCCCAAGCCAGTGCTTCTTCCTTTTTGCTCTGTCCACCCTAGGTCCCCGTAGCGTCAGGTGGCCCAGGTTCTGCTGCAGTCAGGACGTCCCCGGATCTCTGTGGCTTAGAAAGACTAAGGCTTCCTTCTCATTCGTACCGCGTGCCCACGGCTGGGCAGCAACAGGCTCTGCTGGTCACGGTCTCTGAGACCTGCCTGAAGGGGCTGCCACCGTCTTGCCGCGGCACTGGGGGCAGACTCAGGAGGCTCTTGCCCTGTCAGTGAAATAGCCTGGCCTGGAACTGCCTCGTCGGAGCTCTGCTCACAGATCACTGGCCAGAACGTGCCCCACTGGGCCCCCAGAAGGGGCGTACGGCCCACCCGGGCACTTGTATCTAACGGCACCGTCCTGGGGGTCTGAGGGGGTAGATCCTGTCCTGCTCTGGGGTCAGAGGGAAGCAGAATGGCCCTGTCCTGGGAGTCTGAGGGGAGAGAGGACAAGCTGTCCTGGAGAGGGGGGACCAGGGGAGACGGCGCAAAATGTGCCCCCTCCCCCGTATAGCGCAGCTGCCTTGGGAAAACTAAGCCTTTGGTGCTGAGACATCTCCCCACCTCTCCCCTCTCTGGGCACAGCCGCCACCTGCTGGTCCCGCCCAGGCTGCTCTGGCGCCGGCCTTGGAATCTGATCTGGCCGGGAAGCAAAGGCTGTTTGTTCTCCCTGGTGACCCTCTTGGCCACCCTGAAACCAGCTCTGGATCGCTTTCCAGGGCATCCTTTGGGTGACCAGGGGCCCCCAGAGGAGCCGTCCTGGCCCCGGATCTGACTGGACTTGCTGGTATTGCAAGGCCAACGACCCGGCAAAATCCCAACCCTCTGAGCCCCACGGGGCCCGAGGACAGCCTGGGGAAGTGCGGGCTCACCTCGGAGCCCACCCACCCACGCCCGACTTGGGGGCCACATCAATCCTGACTGCTGTGGCTGAGCTTACGCCATCTTGGGCTACACAGGAGGGAGCCAAAGCTTTATCCTTCCTGCCTTTGGCTTGCTCCCACCTGAGACAGGTGTCTTAGGGCGAGTTGAGGTCCCAGCTCCACTGCTCACTCGCTGGTGACCCTGAGCAGTGGCTTGACCTCTCTATTCCTCAGTTTCTCCATCTTTACAATGGGTATCTCAATGGGCCTTACCCCAGCGCAGCTCTGAGGGAGAATGCATGCGTCCCTCAACTGCTCTACTGACCTGCAGAAACACTTCCCGTCCCTGAAAGGCCTTCCCAGCCAAACGGTTTCTGGAGGGCAAAGTCCAAGCAGGTGCTGGGGTTGCAAGCCCCCAGTGGCCTCTGCTAGTGCAAAATCCATACTTCCTGTTCAAATGTTGCTGAGTCCATCTGTGGCCCCTTCTGCTCTCTCCATCCCGCGATCAGAGCACCCACCTGGGCCAGATTCAAACATCCCCTTGCCGTTCCCCTTCAAGCCCCCTAAAGCTACTGGGTTCTACCTCATCATTCATCCTGCCTGCTCTCGAACTTCATAGAAATGTCATGCCCTAGTGAGTTCTTTTCTGAGTCTGGCTAATTTTGTTCAATATTATGTCTGTGACATTTATCTAGGGTGTTGCCTGTATGAATAATTCCTTCTTTTTTGCTGCTGAATGATTCCTTTCTTTTTCGTTGCTGAGTCCAGTGCATGGATATACCGGTCTGTTCACCTGTTCCCCCGCTGCTAAATGTCTCCCGTCTGTGGCCACTGAGCAAAACCACCCTGAGTACTCTTGTACATGTCTTTGGAGGAACATGCACTCATTCCTGTTGTGTAAATGCCCCGAGTGGAGATTGTGGCTGGTAGGCGAGGCCTATGTTCGGCTTTCGCAGATGCAGTCGAGCAGATTTCCAACGCTGTTGTACCAATTTACCCTCCCACCCACAATGAATGAGCGTTCCAGCGACCCCATGTCTTCACCAACACTCGGCATCGTCAGTTGTGTTAATTTTGGCCATTTGTCTTGCCAGAGTTTGAATTCCTTAGCTGTTCTGCACACTCTTGCCGGCTTAGAGATCCTAACTGAAAACAGCTGATTTGTGCTGTATGGAAAACACCCCTTTCTCATCTTGCTTATCCACCTGCCCTTTTCACTTGTCTTTGAACAGAGCCTGAAGAGAATTTATGAGACGTGAGGTAGCTTCTGAGATGGTCCCCAAAGACCATGGTGTTCTGGTGTTCAGGCCTCTGTAATCCCCTCCCTTGGGTATGGGCTGGACCTAGTGACTCACTTCTAACCAACTGAATACAGCAAGGTTGATGGGGTATCACTTCCATGATTAGGTTCTAAAAGACAGTGACTTCTGTCTGGTTGCAGACTCTCTTGCTGGCTTTGCTAAAGCACACTGGCCTATAAAGAGGCCCATGTGTCACGGAACTGAGGGAAGCCTCTTACCAACAGCCAGAAAGGAACCAAGGCCCTCAGTTCCACAGCTTGTAGGGAATGGATGGACTCCTGCTAACAACGACAAAGTGAGCTTGGAAGGAGATCCTGCCCCTGTCGAACCCGGATTGCAGTCTGAAGGGGAGGACTCAGTTGAGCCATGCCCAGATTCCTGACCCACAGAAACTATCAGATAATAAATGCGTGTTGTTTTGAGCGGCTAACTTTGGGGGATGATTTGTTATGCAGCAAGAGCTAACGGATACAAACGCAAAGGATATTGAAGTCAGGGAAAGAAAATGTGCTGGATTTTCAGGTAGTATTTATGTGATTCTTGCTCCATTTATCCTAATCAACTCAGTTTTGCATCTTGGGTCTTCTTCTGAGCCTAAGGTCGACTTTGCACTGTACCTAGAACCGTCCTGAGATGGAGGGCTCATGAGGTCCTTCCAAAATTCTTATTTCATCCAAAATATGTTTTAAAGTATGTTCATGAAGTGTTTTCTGGGGTGTGTAGGGGGGGGGATATGCCCCTTGTTGTGCTGAGCAATTTTCTCCAAGGTGGCATCTGGCCTTCCATTCCAAATGTCACCAACACAGAGGACCCCAGCTCCATTCTGGCACTTTCAGTAGATTGCATGTGTAGAACTAAAGAAGAGAGACGGGTTGTATCAAGGGGACAACAATGGCGATGCTTGTGTGAGTTAGGCAGGGTATTTGGCCCATGGTGGGCTCCCAAAACTCAATAGTTCTTCTCAACCGGAAATAGTGTGGTTAAGTGCTTTCAGTATCCCCCACTGTACCTGCTGTTGAAAAATGCTTCCATAGCTGGAGCAGATGTTCCCTGTGCCTCACTCCCATCCACCCCCTCCATGTTCATCTCTCCATGATGAATGCCATTCCCAGCAAATACCTCCAACCCTGCCTGGGGCCTCCTTTGGCCACAGGGGTGTGTCCAGCTGGTGCACAGGGAAGACCAGAAGTGTGAGGGGTTAATCTCTCTAGAAGCAGCTCTCAGCCAATACCTGATGGAGGTCAGAGGATAAACACCCCAGTGTGGGGACCACTCTGCTGTGTGTGCTTTATGCTGTCTCCCAGAGGTCCCTGGCAGCATGGAGCCTCAATTGCCCACAGTACTGTCTGCTCCTTGGTGTCCCCGAAGGGCTCTAGGGCTTCCTGAGGTACCCTCCCACATAAACAAACCACATCCCCCAAATCATCTCAAGGTCTGGCTCTGATGATCCCAATCCAAGGCAACATCTTTGAGAGATATTGTCCACTCTCTAGTCACACCAGGATGCCGACAGCTGCTGGTTTTTGCATGACCCATGGAATTAATGGAGACATCAGTATCCTTTCTGATTTGGTCCTCCTCACTGTGTTTGGTGGAGGGGAGGAGGTTACTTTATTTTATAAAGGAAACTAAAGTGGCAGGTCATATGTTCCCTGAGCCAGGTCTGTCCCAGCTCCTGGAGGACACAGAGCAACCTGAGCATTTGGCTTCAGCCCCAGGACCAGCCTCATCCCCTCTCACCTGATTCTGGCTGAGATAGGAGGATGCTTGGTGTCCCTTCCAGGGCAGAGACGGCAAGGGGGGCAGGTTTCGACTGGGCTATGGGCAGCGCTCCCAGCTGGCCTTCCAAGCTGGAACTTTGCATAGTTTTCAGGGATCCTGTTCTGGGTCCCATGAGGATGAGCAGGGGTCACACAAAAATGAGGCTAGCAAGCTCGAGGGGTGCAACATTTAAGGAGCTCATTTTAGTTCAGGGACCCACCTGCACCTGCAGGAGCCTGAGATCAGGTGCCTCCTTAAATTTGTCCTGACTGAGGTGAAATTCACATAACACAGAATTCACCATTTTAAAGCATACAATTCAGTAGCATTTAGTACACTGACAATGTTGTGCAAACATTACTCCTGTCTAGTTCCAGAACATTTCTAGCACCCAGAAAGGAAACCCCGTCCCCATGAGCAATCACTCCCCACCCCACTCCCCCAGCCCCTGGCACCCACTAATCTGCTCCGTCTCTATGGATCTGCCTGTTCTGGACGTTTTATATACGTGGAATCACACACTATGTGGCCTTCCGTGTGTGACTTCTTTCACTCGGCATGATGTTTCCGAGCTTCATCCCTACGTAGCATGGGTCATTGCTTTGTCCCTTTTCATGGCTGAGTAGTAACCCATTGCATGGATTGATCACATTTTTTATCCGCTTATCTGCTGATGGACATTTGGGTTGTTTCCACCTTTTGGCAGTTACGACTAGTGCTGCTATGCATGTGTTTGTAGAAGAATTTGTTTGAATACCTATTTTCAATTCTTTCAGGTCTCCAATTTTGCTCCCGCACCCTAGTCCTGGTCCTGGGGATGAGGCTGAGGGGTCCAGCGTCTGGTTCCCCTGCCCAGTCCAGGAGATGAGGTGCTGCTCGCTGGCAGGCAGCCGTGGTCCTTCCTCCTCGTTCTCCTTTCCCACACCCCGGAGCCCTGGGGGCCTGCCCTGTTCCAGGGGATTCTCAGAAACGGCATTTCCCAGTGTTTCTCAGGAACCTGCTCTGTCCTGGAGCCCTCTGTGATGGGGTAACGAGGTTCCAGCCATCGCCACCACGTGGCCTCACTTCCTGGGCCTGTTTCCCCATCCGTAAGTGGGGTTGTCCTGAAGATTAACTGAGGCCAGGAAAGTGCCTGGCACATGCCTGCAGAACCAGGCATGTGATAAAGACGTGACATTTATTTGTTTGTTTGTTTACTTATTTATTTAAAGTAAGTTCTATGCCCAACGTGGGACTTGAACTCACGACCCCGAGATCAAGAGTGGCACATTCTACCAACTGAGGCAGCCAGGTGCCCCGACATTTATTTTTATTTAATCTTTTTCACTGATATTTCTTATGCTCCCCAAGAACCCATGCTTACTGGGTGCCCCACATGTCAGGTGCCACGTGGGACATTCATGTGTGTCATCTCTTCCCTCCACTCCACCAGCAAGGAGGTCTGTGCAGCTTCCCGGCAGCTCTGGGAGGAGGCAGCTGAAGTCAGAGTCGGTCGGCCACTCAGGTCTGCGTGTATCGGATCAGCAGGGTCCCTGTCAGGGTCAGGCTTGGGGGATCAGCTCCCCCCCAGCTGAGCGCTGGCACCTCTTTGTCCATTGGAAAGGGCCCTAGGGGGGCTTTAAGCCACTTTGTGGTGGAGCTGTCTCCTCTCCCTGGGCCTCAGAGTGCCTGTGCAGCCCAGGAAGGGACGCACTGGGAGAATTCCGGGGACATCTGTCCATTTGGGGTGAGGGTGGAGGCCAGGCTCCCCCACCCCCGGTGAAATTTATACACATGAAGATTTATATACATGGGTCCCCGACTAGGGTCCACAAGAAGTACACCCTTGCCCCCCACCCCATTCCTGTCACCCCACCCATTACCCCGGCCCTGGGCTTGACCACACAGCATGTTTGGATGTGGCTCAAGTGACAAAGGAGATAGCGAGGGTCAGAGTTTATTTGAGGGTTGTGTGGGATGGGAGTGGGGCTAGGGCCTCTGGAGATCCCTGGGGCTCTGAGTTATCCACTCTAAGCCTTGGCAGTTTCATGAGCCCCAGAAGGTGGCCATCAACCCACCTTTTCCTGCCACCAGGGGTCCAGACTGACGACAGCACAGGTGGACATGCACTGAGGACCTACTGTGCACAGGCACCTGGAATGGAGCCCTAGGAGGGGGGAACTGCTTCTGTCCCCATTTTATAGACAAGGAAACTGAGACACAGAGCAGCGAAGCCCTCAGCCAGGGGCCCACAGCCAGAAGGCTGGGTCCAGCCCTCCAGGTGCACCTGTGGCCCTGGGCCGCTCTGAGCTCAGCACACACAGATTTCCAAATGCTCACAGCCCGGAAGAAGTTGCAGAGTCTGAGACTTGTACTGTCAGCAGCATGGAGGTTACAGAACCCTGGTTCGAATCCTGACTCTGATGCTCAGAACTGGCCATGGGACTCCTGGTGAGTCACTGCCCCACTCTGGACCTCGGTTTCCTCATCTGTGAAACGGATGGAGACATTCAGAGAACCACTGTTTAAGCCCGACCCTCCCCTCCTGCCTCTAACATCTGGATAGCTACATTTCCCAGCCTCCCCTGCCTGGAGATGTGGCCATGTGACTCTGTTCTCGCCAGTGAGGTATAAACAGGAGGGTCCCAAGACCTCCCAGGAAGATTTCCAGGAGGTTCTGAGCACCCCCTGGCCTCAGCCTTTCCCTCTGAGAGAGGAGGTGAAGCCTGGAGCCCTGGCAGCCATTTTGTGCCATGAAACCACCTTGAGGACACAAGCCAGGGATGCTGAGAAATCAAGTCATACTGCTACTGTGGCTGAGCCTGGACCTATCTTTACAGAGTCCTCTTCCTGCTGCCTGACACCAGGTCTCTATCCCTGATCCCTGGGTTCACACCAGTGTGGAGTCCTTCCCTGAGCCCCCTGGCCGGTGGCCTAGCATGCTGTGCATCTCGTGGGTGACCCCTTCCCAGTGTCCCCTGCCAACCGACAGTGTCCGGTGCATGTAGGATAAAGGCAGGCTGGTCCCCCGGCCTCCCCCCATGGCTACAGGTGCCGTAGCAGCGAACGTGGGTCTAAGGGGGCCCCCAGGTTCTGGGAAGGATGAGTAGGGGGTCCGGTGGTGGGTACCCTGCTGGGGCGGAGCCCTGGGGCTGGCCTTGGAGACTCTAGCAGGGTGGACAGGGTCGTCTTCAAAGTGCGGTGGGGACAGTTCATGGAGGCCGCGGTGGGTGGCCCGGGCAGCTCGGAGCAGAGTGTGGGTCAGCGCCGCCACCAAGACCAGAGCACCCACTCCAAAGATGGAGGCGGCTGCTGCACCTGTCTCGATCTCAAAGAGCAGCAGGGCATAGATGGACAGTGCTGGGGAAAGAAATGGCTCTCATTTACTCAGTCAACAAACATTTGCTCCCCAAACCCTGGGAGAGCTCTCCCAAACAGAGGGCAGTCACAGAAACCCGTACATGATAGGCACACAGCTTAACTATTCCTCTCACACCATCGTCACATGCATTTTACCAAAAGACGGTAAATTTTACGTTGTGCGTACTTGACCACAACTAAAACAACCCGGATCTCAGGCTTCCTGAGTGCCGTGATTAACTTTCAGTGAGGTTAACAGAGGCCCCTCTCTGGCCCCAGTCTGCTGAACAAGATGGTTGGTGACCTGACCTTGAGGACCGATCTGTACTAGTTTTCTGTTGACTTGTGCAGCGCCCAGTTGGCACCATTCTTTTTGATGAGGACTGTCCTGTGCACTGTAGGATATTTAGCAGCTTCTACCCACTAGATGCAGTAGCATTCTCCCCCTTCCCTGTCTTGACAACCAAAAATATCTCCAGATATTGCCAGATGTCCCCTGAATCAGCAGAATCTGTTCCCATTGAGAACCACGGGTCCAGTCCCTACCCTCACCCTGATCACTAATGCAGGAGCACGGACCCACCTCTCCCGCAATCATTGATGTGTACGGTACTAGGCTTGGCCAATCAGAGCATTGCTTCCCTTAGTTGTAGTGATTGGGTGCAGAGCTATCACATGACCCAGGCCCAGCCAATCAGAGCCAGCCCTGGGACTTTAGACCGGGCTACCGGTAGGGAGGAATTTTTTTTTTTTTTTTTTAGGGAGGAATTTTCTTACTGGAGCAGCGGGAGAATTGGTTGAAGAGAAGCCCAGAGTGGGATGGAAGCTTTCTTGGCACTTTGCTGGCTGTTTTTATGCTTTCTCCAGCTCTGTACTCTTGCTTTTAAGATGCCACACTGCATCATGTTTGACATATTGAAGTAAGGCCAAGGGGGCGCCTGGGTGGCTCCATCGTTAAGCGTCTGCCTTTGGCTCAGGTCATGATTCCAGGTCCTGGGATCAAGCCCCGCATCGGGCTCCCTGCTCGGTGGGAAGCCTGCTTCTCCCTCTCCCTCTCCCACTGCTTGTATTCCCTCTCTCGCTGTGTCTCTCTCTGTCAAATAAATAAATAAAATCTTAAAAAAATAAAGTGAGGCCAGGGACTTTTTTTTTTTTTTGCTCTAAACATTTTTGAAAAGGTTTTTTAAATTATTCTTTTGGCTCTGGCTAGCAATGAATGGATGATTGGATGATTGGCTGGATGTGCTTGGGAATTCTTGCTGAGTGAGGTCACCTAACCTCAAAAGGAATCTAAATGGGAGCTGAACAAATTCTTAATTTAACACTTAACGAGGCTGACATAGTTACCTTTTTTTTCTCTCTGTGAGTTTTCTTGTATACTAGAATGAGGATATCTTATTCTTCAAGTCTCCAACACTGTTTTTTGCCAGCCTAGGAAAAGGCTCAAGGTTGTAGGCATTATGTTGAAAGCACTTACAAATACAGGCATCTTTCCCAGAGGATAGCAGGTGAAGAGGTGAGAGAAGAGGCATCTCTGATTAACCTTGTTGTGCCCCTAGAACCAGCTGCACCTGAGGCCAACCACCCCCGATCTTTACAGATAGATGAGTCACCTCATCCACTCTTTTATTTTTTTAATATTTTATTTATTTATTTATTTGAGAGAGAGAGAGAGAGAGAGAGCACGAGAGGGGGGAGGGTCAGAGGGAGAAGCAGACTCCCCGCCGAGCGGGGAGCCCGATGTGGGACTCGATCCCGGGACTCCAG